TATAATTATATTATTATTATTATTATTGAATTATTATTAAAGTTATTATTGTATAATATCCCTTGTATATATTCCTTCAATATTTCAGGTATTTGGCATCTGGTGATTCCATGGTATCTATGACATTCCAATATCTTATGGAGAAAACTATGTAATATCGTACGCGAAACATATTCAGTAATTTGGAACGTTCTGCATCCTATGGTTTTACCACCGATAATAATAAAAGAAAAGTGGATAGAAATCAGTCAGGACTTTGAAGAATTGAGAAATTTTATTCATTGTATCGGAATTATAGATGGTAAACATGCTATCATTCAAGTACATAAATGTTAATAGTTATTATTTAATTAATTTTAATAATACAATTTCAAAATGTAAAATGCACGACATATATTGCAGTACATATGTACATACATTGTGGTAAAAACAATAATTCGTAATGTTTCAGTGCCCTAATAATGCTGGTTCGAGTTATTACAATTACAAAGGAGCTCACAGTGTAGTATTGTTAGCAATTTGTGATGCACAATATATTTAATATGAGACAAATATAAAATAAATGTAGTAAAATTATTTATAATAAAACAAATGTCGTTAAGAGAGTCTGCTCAGTTCTTTCTTCTAATATTTAAAGCCCTAATGAAGATCGAAACGTTTGTTTATTACATGGCAAAATTGTTTTAATAGTAACACGAACACCTAGCTTCGGCTCATATAGCCTCCTATTTTATATCAATTTATACATATATGATTCTAATTGAGCCTTCCTTGTATTAATTTTATTCAAAATGTGGTTAAAATTATTATTATTTACTTACCTCGCTAGATTCTCTGTTATCTTGCATTTTGAATCTTCGCTGGTCGTCGCGTATCCAATGTAATATCTCATAGTTCGATAAATCGAACTATCGGATATCACATCTGGATATCGAGAAAGCGCTCTGTTTTCAGCTATATTGATGGGAGTGGGAGAAATATCTAAATATGCATATCTCCGTGAGATCGCAGCTTTATTAGAGATACTATAACAGAGATTCGACAATGCGTTAACGATTTCTGATTGACTCCCGTCGCTTGGGATATAACCAGAAGTGTCAGAGAGAAAGATATACTAACCTGTCACCTCTCTAACCTGTCGATCGAAAGAAAACAGCGTGCCTAAATAATCATAATACTTGTGCAAATTATAAGGTATGTGCATTTTATTTCAGACTATATGATTTGTATAATGTGCCGTATTTTTAATGTAGCCTCAAAAATAATTTTTTTTCAAATAAAATAGGTGAATAAAAAAAAATGCCTAATAGTTGCTGTGCCGGTTATTGTACTAATACAAATATAAAAGAATATCAGATGTGTCGATTTCCAAAAGATTCGGAAAGAAAAAAAATATGGATCCAGAATATGAATCGTACAGATTGAATTCCAACTTCAGATGCAAGATTATGTGATGTAAGTTATAATCAAAAGCTAACTATTTTAATTTTTGCTGAAAGTTTTGTAAAAATATTATAATACTTAAAAAAATATATTCAAAACCGTTTAAATATACTAAATCGAGACTGAGAAAAATATAATTGCACATTTAAAAGTTATAAAAATTATATTTTCTATACAGATTTATTTTGTCCCTGATATGTGGTGTTGAATAAACAGCGAATGAGACGCCACGGGCATGTGCCCGTCACACGTGCCACCGGGTATTCCGTCAGTAGCGATGTGGTCGAGAAAAGTATTTGACTTCCTCTTAGTTCACATTAAATTTATTGCCGTTCACCGGGATACAAAACTGTGTTGGAGCGAAGGAATCACACGTCGAATGCTCTCGAAACTTCGTTGTTGTGCGGTAACGGAAAACGGACTTCTCCCTCTCTACGTACACGAGAGCTCTGTACACCCTCTCTAATATAGAGACCCTCTAATCAGAGTCGCGAAATAACGTTTCCAATTTTGATTGGTGCTGACATTTTTCAGCAAAAACCGGAAATAGTTATGGCATTAAATTTAAGTCAACCTACATTCGCTGCCCATTTTGCTCTTTTTTCAGGATTACGAGGAAAGACTTTCATAGTATAACCCTTTATTGCAGAATTATTGCAGTCTGGCGCAGAACAACCAGTCATTTTAGAAAATATAATTTTATGAAATACAATATTAATATAATAAATATAATAATGTAATTTCTTTCTGATAACTGTATTTAGATTCACATGTATTAGGTGTTAATGTATCACAATCATAGTCTTTTCATTGCAACTGCGATGGTGCTCGTACGTGCAGTAGTATTATATTTTTCTTCACGCGTGCACGTAATGTGCCCTACACAAAGAAAAATTCTATGGGAAAGTTGTTTATTGTGGGGACGGGCGCGACGGCACGAGCGAAGCGACCTATAAACAAATATACCACTGTTACACAATGTACTATAATCGCTACTTCCGGTTTTTGCTGAAAAATGGTATCGCCGACCTAACCTTATTGACGTTATTTCGCGACTCTGATTAGAGGGTCTCTACCCTAATAATGCGTGTCGCGCCGAAAGTAACTAGACATGCGATCATGACGCGAGACCGTACATGCCACGAATACAATCCTGCGCGGACGGTAAATAATACATAGCTTATGCCTTAAACTATGAAAACGTAAAATGAAACAATGAAAGTTAGACTAATTATTATACATGTGGATAACGAGAAAAGATGGCTCACGCAGATTAAAATCTGATGCAGTTCCAACAATATTTGGTGAGAATTTGCCAACGTCTATAACAAAGCAGAACACAATGACCGAAGCTGCAGAGACTGATATGTTTGAAAATGCTGCAAATAAAATGGAAGAAGAAATGGAAATCAATGAAGAAGATATATCACCGAAGAAGAAAAAAAAGATGTATTAGGTATTCTATCTAATAGAACAGAAATTTCAGATCCATGTGTTTTACAACGTTTGGAGAAATTGGAAATGCTTTGGAAGAAAAGTGAACACTTAAGACTGCAAATGAAGAAAAAATTACAACAGGCAAAAAAAAATCAAGAGGCTTCAAACTAAAGTATGTAATAATAAAATATAAGTTCAAGTATAAATAAGATTTTCAATGAAGATCAATTATGCTTGTTGTCTGCAAAGTACAAAAAAATACCAAAATGGTGCAATAGTACATTGATTAAAGCTTATAGATTAAAATTTGCATGTGGTACTGTGGGTAGGAATTGTTAAAAGCAAATTTTCCTCTTCCTTCTCTTCGCACTTTTTAAGTAGGAAGTTAGAAAATCTTAAATTCGAAAGTGGGATAATTAATGAAGTTTTCAAATTTATGAAAATAGAAATTTCTGCGTTCGAGAAAGAAATTGATAAAGATTGCACATTAATGCTCGATGAGATGAGTATTTCCGCTGGTACTTTTTATGATGCATCAACAAACACGATCATTGGCAACGTTACATTGCCAGATCATGATACAAGTATTATTGCTACCCATAGCAATTCGTTTTTATTTATTTAGCCAGAATTGCTTCAAGATGGAAACAAGTGGTTGCATATTATTTTACGGGTAATAAAGTCAACGGTGAAAAATTAAAACCTATAGTTGAAGCGATTACAAAAAAAGCTGAGGAAATTGGTTTAATTGTTCATAATGTCACTTCGGATATGGGACCAAGCAGTCAAGCAATGTGGAGAGCGTTTGGAATACAAGTTTCAAATGTTATAATTCAAAATAGTTGTAAGCATCCTTGCTCTAATGATAGGTTTTTGTACATTTATTCGGACGTACCTCATGCTTTAAAAAATATTAAAACTGGATTTATAAATAATGAAACAATAACCATTCCATATTAATTTGTTAATAAGTTTGCATTACTTACAAACATAGCTAATTGTAGTCATTTAAACGCTGTTCTTATTACTGATAAAAACTGTGATATAAAGTTAGCTCCTAAGTTGCGATCTGAATATTTACCTGGAAAAAATTCCAACATTTCCAAAAAATGAAAGTGAATACTGCTACAACAGTATTCAGCGATCAAGTAGGGATAGCTCTTGAATTGTTAGCAAACTCAAATGATGCCATGATAACGACTGCTTGGTTTTTAAAATTTATTGCTCGATGGTTTCGAACAATGAGCGGAAGAGATTTGTATTTAGCTTTAGAATTGAATTGTATAGAAAAATTTAAAGAAACAAGTGCTTTTCTAAATAAAGTAATTGAACTTTTCAAAGGCTTAAAAGTAGGAAAGAATGGAAATTGGAAGCCTTTTCAAACAGCTGTGATAATGTCTACAACAACCGTCCTTCAATTAACTTTAGTTTTACTGCGTGACAGAGGTTTTAATTATTTTTTACCTTCGCGTCTTTCGCAAGACTGCATCGAGAACTTATTTTCTGTAATAAGATTAAAAAACGTAATTCCGAATACATTTCAATTTAAAAATAATTAAAAATTGATAAGTATTTCTCAGTTCATGAAGAGTGTATCCAATAGTAATCATGGTCGAAGTAACAAGGTCTGCTATTGCGCAGCCTTTTATATCTAGCCAATAGCAAGCAAGACTGAATTCCGCCATATTGCGCGCATATATATGAACATATTTAAAAATGATTTTGTGTGCAGACACATACACATAAAAAATGGCGGAATTCAGTCCTGCGCAGAACCGGACGAATATTTGTCATGGATACGAGCAGACCTTGTTACTTCGACCTTGATAGTAATTACGAAACTGATGATAGAAAATTTTTTCAGAATTTTTAGATATTTTAATGGAAAACAACAAGTATGTGTTACGTCCCTCCCGTCCGTATATTTCCTCTTTTTATTTATCTTTTCATATGCGTTATATGCGTTTAGATATTGTTACGTCCAAGCCCCAGGATTCTTTATTCTTCTTCTTCTTCTAAATTTAAATGGCCCGGGTTCCGGAGTAACCGGATAAACGTGGCCAGTCGTTTCCAAGACACCGCCAACTCTCCACAGGTAATCCCCAAAAAAGAAGAAGGATGAATTTCCGAGAGACGAAAGAGACTCCTGAAACAAACGCGGAAACGCGGAAAAAGTTCCCTGCGCCGCGCGCGGCCCCCAGCGGAACTCCACGACACTTAACCGCGGAGGGCCGCGGAAGGGAGGATATACCAAGGGAGATGGGGGGAGGGGAGAGAACGAGACTCTCCCCGTCCCCCACCCCAGCGCACGAGGTTTAAATAGGAACATCAAAAGACTTAGCAAAGGCGAGTAAGAGTCTGCATAATTTGTGGCTAGGGTTGACAAGCAAAGTAAATATATTATATGAATGAGAAGGAAAAGTTTTATTTAGGTAAAGGACTAGTGATCGAGCTCTGCGTCTTGTTAGGGGGCAAAAGAAAATTGAGTGATTAAGATCTTGTCTGGGGTCTCCACATTCACAAGCCGGAGACGGCACCATATTTTTCCTGAACAAGCTATAATTGAGATTGTAATGGTTTGACCTCAGTCTATTAATCAATACTATTTCACTCCTGTTGAGCTTCTTTTTAAAATACCAGGGTTTAGCAGTCATAGCTCCGGTGTGATTAGCCTTGTCGTTTAAATAATCCGTGAAACGAACGCGAGCCTTTGCTACTGCCTGAATCTGAAGATCTGAGTAGGGGGTACGGAAAAAACCTCTAGCTCCATCTATACATGCCTCTTTGGCCGCCCTATTAGCCAGCTCGTTGCCTAAGATGCCTTTATGCGAAGGGATCCAAAAGAGGGAGCAGTCAATATTATTATGCTCCAATTGAAGCAGAACTTGCTTTATTTTTTGGATAATGTAATTACCATTAATCAATCTGTAAGACGAGATGGCTTGTAGTACACTGCGGGAATCTGAAAAAATATAAATCTTAAAATAACCCGCATCTAGCGTCAAAATTAGGGCTTGATATATTGCCCAAGCTTCCGCAGTAAACACTGAGGCGCTGCAAATTAACTTGTATTTGAAGCAATAACCAAGTTCCGGCGAAAAAAAAGCCGCGCCCGCACATCCATCCTCCGATAGCTTTGATCCATCAGTGTAGACGGTGAGGCCGGATGGGTCTAATTCCTGTAGCCTGCTGCTAAAAGACTGAATAATTTCATTATCGCTGGATTCTTTAGTGCAGGAGATGAAAGATTCAAAGTGTTTACGTAAAGTGAAAGCGTTCAAGCTATTCAAAGCATTCTCGAATGCAGGAATAAGGTATGAACTCTTCAGATGAGAGAAATCATGTTTGTTAATAATAAAACATCTCAGCGAGGAAGATTTTGCCAGGGCCTGGGCCTTCTGCGCAGGGGTGCTGAGACCATATTCCAATGATTCGATGCTGCTTATAACCGGATGATTCCTTTTAGACATGCATTTAATGACGAACCTCTCACTGAGAAGGTTAAATCTCAATCTTAAGGGATATTCTCTCGCCTCGCACAGCATGACGTTGATAGGAGTAGATAAACGATATCCCATGGACGTCCTGATGGCCCTATACTGTAACCTTTCAAGCTGACGGAAAATTCTTGCATTATTTTTCCATGTGAAAATTGAAAAGGCATATTCTATAGCTCCCCTAAAAACTGATCGGTATATAGTAAGTAAACAGTGGGGATGAGATCCCCACCATACAGCCGTGAGAGTTGAGATGATGTTGACTAGAGCCCTTCCTTTCTTCACAAGATATTCCAGATGAAGATTACCCTTCAATTTGCGATCCAGTATTACTCCTAGGAATTTGACCTTTTCCACTCTGGGAATGAGGAGATTGTCTATAGAGAGAGAACAATCTGGTGCGGGCACCGCCTTAGAGGTCGCAAAAATCATCCAGCTTGATTTGGAGGGGGAGAGGGATAAGCCTTTGGTCCCAACGTAATTCGAAATCTGATTTAAGGTTGCCTGAATCCTGTCAACTGCCGTCTCGGGATTACGATGAGAAGTAAATATCACGATATCGTCGGCATACTGCAGAAATTGTACATTTCTGGACATGCAGGATCCAATCTTGCAGAGGGCGATATTGAAAAGCAAAGGGCTCAGCACTGAGTCCTGCGGAGTACCTTTATATGACAACCGTTTTTCGCCCAGATTTCCTTGTTCCAAGAACTGCACCGATCTCTCAACGATGAGATTTTCTATGAATTTTCTAACGGTAGCCGGCACGCCAGCATCTTTTAGTTCATTAAGCACAGCGGAGGGCAAAATATTGTCGAATGCAACTGTGATATCCAGAAAGACTGCAACAAAAGATTCGTCACTTGATACAGCTGTAAGAATCTGGTTCGTAAACGTAAGGCTATCGTTGCATGATCTGCTGGAACGAAAACCCATTTGCTTATTGGGGAGAAGTGATTGTGATTCAATCAGCCATACTAGTCTCCAGTATATAATTCTTTCAAATAGTTTAAGTATGCACGATAAAAGAGAGATAGGCCTCAATCCAGAATTTCCGGCTTTGGGTATGAAGATTACCAAAGAGGATCTCCATTCGGTGGGGATGACTCTCTCTTGAAGGAAACTGTTGAAAAGGTTAACTAATAACTCTCTATAATTATGCAGAAGATAATCAAGCATGTTGTTACTGATTCTATCCAGTCCTGGGGCGGAATTCTTATTGGCTAGAGAGATTGCCGTATCAAGGTGTTCCATGGTGATTGGAGTGTCAAACTCCTTGAATATCCTTTCCGATTGTACGTCCTCTTTCCTCATACCATCAAGACTCATTATGATGTTATGCAGACATGAAGGTGGGCACAGTTTTTGAATTGCCTCACTCGTCAACTGCCTCTCCTTGAAGTATTCCATGTTTTCATGTGATAGTGATAAATTGCGACGTTTGAATGCTTTTACTAGCGACCAGAGTTTGGTGGAAGAAATTTTTGCATTGAAAGTGCAGAATTCTTTATTGCATAGGAAATTTTAAGGATTGGGGAGGGGGCATGGGAAGACGCAACTGACACCGCTCTTGTGGTAGACGCTTCAAGACGCGTGCCACAAGTCGGAGACGCAATAAGGTCACAGATGTGGGTCAACGTCAGCGTGCGACGCTATTACCCAATCCTGCGACTGTGTCTCCGTCGGTCCCCTTTTAGATCAAGGAACTTAATTCTTTTGATCAGGGATCGGACCGTGCGACTTAGTGGGATGAGGAATGAGTCGAGGGAAGTTCTGAATAAATTACAGGAATTTAAACGTAAAATAAGATTTTTATTTTTAATGCATGGTGAACAATTTAAAAATGAACTATTAGTTAATCGATCAATACGAGCTTAACATTTCTATGAATTATTTTTAATATTTGTACGCGTTTTTAATCATAAGGTATGGCTTGTATGTGTATGATGTAGATGGTTCTGATGAGGGAAAGGGAGATTGAGCATCGAGATATTCCTCTAATTCGAGGTATAACTCGTTATTAAAAATATCTGGTTCGAAAGAAACGGGGGAATATGAAATTGGAATTAGAGGAGGAAAAGAGAGTGATGTAGAGTCTGGAAGGGGAAGAGTCTCGGTTTCGGTCAAGTCTATGACCGGTATACTGTTCGTTGTTGTCTGTGGTTGTATTTCGTTATTGTTTGTTGGTGTTCTGATATTCGCTGGTACTTGATAAGTCCCGTTTGGGGAGGTTCTTGATTGAACCCTTGTTACGGTTGGAACTCTCAGCCGGCGCAAACGTTCAATCCTGCTTCGCCTCCCACGTCCCGCTCGATGTTTATTATTCCGGACCATCTACCATTAGGACCATCCCTCATTAGGGAAATTTAAACAAGAAAAGAAGAATCCAAGAAGAGAAAGAGAGAGAGAGAGAGAGAGAGAGAATAGAAGGAAAGCAAGAATGAAAGAGAGAAGAAAGAAAGCATAAAGAACAGGGAAAGTAAATCGCTTGAGGCGTCAGACGCTAAGCAATTTAGGAAATAAAGGAAAAAAAGAGAGAATCGCTTGAGGCGTCAGACGCTGAAGCAATTTAGAAATAAAGAGTAAGGAAAGTAAATCGCTTGAGGCGTCAGACGCTAAGCAATTTAGGAAATAAAGGGAAAAAAGAGAGAATCGCTTGAGGCGTCAGACGCTGATGCAATTCAGAAATAAAGAGTAAGGAAAGTAAATCGCTTGAGGCGTCAGACGCTAAGCAATTTAGGAAATAAAGGAAAAAAAGAGAGAATCGCTTGAGACGTCAGACGCTGAAGCAATTCAGAAATAAAGAGTAAGGAAAGTAAATCGATTGAGGCGTCAGACGCTAAGCAATTTAGAAAATAAAGGAAAGGAGAGAATCATACACGAAGAAGGAAAGAGAAGAGAGAGAGATATAGTAGATGGTCAAATAATAATAATAGAACAAAAAAAATTGACTTCTTACTTTTGGGATGAATGAGGTGTTGATAGATGGCTACCGGAGTCCCTTGAAGATCGGGGCCTGTGATGGAGCAAGGTCCTAGACTGGTCGGATGTAGTCGCTGCCTTTTTCATGGGAACTCCGAAATTTTTATAAATGTCACACGCGAATTGCAGAGTACGGAAGTTCTATTGAGACTGGTTTTAAATGTAATATCTAAACTGTCAAGGATCTGATCCGCACTATTAGAACTAAGGAAGTGAAGTGTTTTTCGTAGTCTCGCGGCTTCGTATTTATACTTGCGGAGGGCAATATGCCCTTCTTTGTTTGCGAGAATCAAATTTTGGGAGTAGGAATGATTTAGGTCAAATGTCTGCTGATGTATCGAAGATTTAAATGGTTTTATCTTAAACCGGAAACGCGTGTGCAGTATCGAACGCTGACCTATAAGCTTCTTATAGGATCTATGAGTGGCGGTTGGTCTTTTAACTTCGCGACGCGGCCAGCTGTAGCGTCTGGTAGTTGAATTTGTTAATGAGAAAAATTTTCTCTAATCACCTAATAGTTGTCGATATCTGCTCACCCGTTTCTCTTAAAATTTGAAGTAAGAAGCAAGAAGAAATGATATTATTTGTTTAGGTTTCCTCGTACTCCTTATTACACTTAATTTCGTTAATATACTTGTTATTTATCTAACGTTCCACGGAAGAAAAGAATCGTGAAGTCCTCCGGACGTAACAATATAAGTATAGCATTAAGAGAATAATTGAGTGCGTTCAGCAGAAAAAGTTGCAAAGCTGCCTGTAATTCATGGGAGGTGTAGATTTGCATGACCAACATTGTGGCAATTTGTCTTCTGCAATTCGTGCCAAAAAATGGACGTGGACAGTTCTTGTACTGCTTTTCAGGCATCAATTACAAACGCCGTCGTTTTGGCAAATTCAGCCAACAATAAAGAAGAAATGACTGGAACAAAGGAGTTCGCAATCAATATAAGCAGATCGTACCTTATACCAAAGAAAAAAATCAATGCCGTCCACATTTTACATAAAGGCAACCAAAGAAAATATTGTTCTAATGATAAATGCAAAATCGGAACAAATCAATATTGCGAAACTTGCAATTTATTTTTATGTAAAACTTGTGCTTTAGAACACACTCAATCCCAATGAAAACTACAAAAAAATAAATAAATAAAAATCATAAAACCACAAAAAAAGATTTAAAAACCGAAAACCATAAAAAAAAATAAAAAACATAAAATGCAAAAAAAAATTAATAAACATAAAATACAAAAAAAAAAGATTTTCAAATAACACCTACCTCCACGCGGTGAGAATCGGGCAACATTGTTGCAAGTATTTCATATTTTCAATGGCAAAAGGTGTTTATAATCCTAAAATTTTAATATCCAATTCGTAATCAACGAACTCGAAAACCCCCGATAAAACAGTTTCATTCGAATTGAAGCTACTTTTCGCATTTTCATCCGCCATATTGGATCCGCCATTTTGAATTTTATAATTCGGAGTCCATATTCGTAATCAGCGACCTCGAAAACCCCCGAGAAAACAGTTTCATCTGAATTGAAGCTACTTTTCGCATTTTCATTCGCCATATTGGATCCGTCATTTTGAATTTTAGAATTCTGAGTTCAGATTCGTAATCAGCGACCTCGAAAACATAAAATAAAGCACTTTACTAATCCAGCCGTTAAATCTAAATATCTTATTTTTCAATATTTCATTATCTGTTAAAAATACTCCCGAATAGGCCGCCATTTTGTTTACACCATCATGAATTTAAAAAATCTACCTGGGTAACTTTTTAGTACAACTATCGGGTCCACGATTCAAACACGTTTTAGCGCATTTACATTCCGATAAAAGGTCGAAAAGATGAAATTTAAAAAAAACATACACAGAAAAACCCGTGTTTTTTTAATGTATATGCCAAAAACACATATATATTGCAAATTTAGGCAAATTTTGACAACGCCATTGTAAAGAGCGACCTCGAAAATAGTAGGACATGTACTTTTCAATTTCTTTTAGCTTCGATTTTGATACGAAATATTCGATTAAAATTCAAGTGAAAAAAATGTCATTTCAGGCGTTAATGGGTTAAACTTAACATACCTCCCAGGTCAAAAACTAATTGAGCTATACTAGTTGTTAGAAATATATATAAATTTATTATTAATAAAATTACATCGGTATATACGGAAAAGTTTCGACTTCACAGAGTCCTCAACAATCGCAACCGAATTCTTAAAAATTAATTAATTTTTTTTTCTTTTTATATTATTTTTTTAATTTTTTTTGGTATATTGCGAAGTATATCACAAGTCGGCGTTTCGTCCCAGCCTCCACCACTAGACTCATCAGTAAGGTAACGTAGTGGAAGCCTACCTTAGACGCCGGTGTAAATTATTAAATCAATTAAATCAAGACTCTACGTGAAGCAATATATGTATATTTCAACAAAATATTCTCTTATCACAACTCTTTCGCCCCTTTTAAAAATTTTTAATATTTTATCATTTTCTATTCTTCGCTCATTATTTATTTTTGGAAACATTAAGTCCAATCTGCTTCTTATCTTCCTACTAAATATCGCTTCTGCGGGCGATTTATTTAACTCCGAGTGTGGAGTTAGTCTATAATTGAACAGAAATTTTTGCAGATTAGTCTTAATATTACCATTTGTAATATCTAATTTACGCAGTGCTTGTTTTAGAGTTTGAACAAAACGTTCTGCCAAGCCATTCGTGGCTGGATGATAAGGGCTGTACGCTTATGGTTAATACCATTGTTTTTAAGAAAATCTTGGAATTCTTCTGCT